TGATAATAATAAACTTCAATAATATCGAATCGAGATTGTTATTATACAGAAAATGTATCTTACTCATTCTTGAATATGGTATTTTAGTTTACAGTAATTGTAGACATAATGACCTGATTAGAATTGAAGGTGTTCAAAGAAAGTTCACCAAAGCTGTTCTGGGGTATTCCGATAACAAAGACTATTACCAAAGATGTCAACTACTGAGCTTAGAACCTCTTTGGATCAGACGTATCAAATTAAATCTTGCCTTTATCTACAGGCTTATTAACGATATTTCCTACTCTTCGGTATCCACCCCTTCATACCTTATGATATCATCCCACAATCTACGCAATAAGGAGAATATCCTAGCGATTCCAAGGACCCACACAAACTTACGTCAGAATTTTTTCCTTATTTGCTACTCAACCATGTGGAACAGACTGCCAGTGAACCTCCGTTGCAGTGAAACTACAACCCGGTTCAGAAGTCTCCTTTATGATTTTCTTTCCGAAAGTGGATTATGTCACCTATTGAATATCAATGTATTCAATAATGATTTATAAAAACAAGGTCCGTCATCCATTTAATTGTCTGAAAAGTAAAATGAAACCTTTGAAACTTTTCACGTCTATTTTATTTTATTTCTATTCATCTTAATATATGAAGTCTGCTTATGTTCGTATTTATCATTATTACCGTTATTATTATCTTTATTGGTCCCTCGATACATTGGATATCCTTTCTATCTCTTCTTTTCCTTCTAAACATATTTAATTCCAGATTGTCCTTTGAAATCAAGTATGAATTTCATAGCATCATTCTTAATTATTATTGCACAAATATTTATACTAATATCCGGTTTCACTCTGTATATTATTACATAAATCTAAATGTATTCATCCGAGTGCTTTAACGGAATTTTATTTTATTTTTTCAATTGCTGGTTTCCTTCTGAGGTTGATATTCATTACACAATTATTATTCTTATCATGGATCAAAACTTTTCACTAAGTGTTCACTTCTTTTCTCTCTTCTTTCCCTCTAAATAAATATTATTCTTAAGATTACGAAGTTTGTAATTAAGACAATAACTTGTGTTATATTTACATTAACTTCTCAGACCTGTTTTATATTCACTATGCATATATGACTCATGCATATTGATGTTTCGTTATCCTTTTAATTTAATTGAGACTTTCATAGCATCACTCAAAACGATAACTGCACAAACATTTATTCTAGCGTCATATCGTACTGCGATAATAAGTTATTTCTTCCTAATTATTTTTTGTTACTAATTTGACGATATATAGATGGTCGTTAATTCATGTTCTGTGTTCATAAACATGCCTATCAACCTGTTTGCGTATTTCATGTATCTTTTATTTCTATTTCGTTATTTTCTTCCTTTCCTTCTTTAAACTCAATCCAATATTCTTCTCAATCACACAGACCTGATTTATTATTATTATTCTATTATTATTACTTCTTTTAGATATCGCAAATATAATGCTAACACCATTGAAGATTGTGTATTATTGCATTTTTGAAGAAACCCGAAATGGTTTCTTCCCGATACTTATGTACCCATAAGATGTTTGTAAGAGATGACACTAGAAAGTTATAAATAAACACCCAGGACCCAACCTACTTGGCATTTCCGAGTGCGTGAACTAGTGAGTGGTGGTCTTCACGAACCTCACAGACCTGATATGCAACAGTGGCGTTGGCCATCATGTAGCGTAGGCCCTCACAATGCTACGATACTTGAAGTGTCCAGGTTACTTCGTCTGTTATAACTCACGCCCTGGGGACAGAGAGGACCCAAATAAGGCCCTTTAGACCTGGTACAGCTCAAAAAAATCTCTAGAGTAACATCAGATGTCGTTAGAGCCAACCTAAAAATATAAAGCAACAGCCTCAACTCATAATACAGAACACAGAGACCACAGTTTCTTGAATAGGATGGGCTTTACAGGCGGAAAACCTACAGAGGTTAGCTCGTGCTAAACTGGCCGATTCAGTTTAAACAGCAAGCTGTTTTGAAAACAATGTGAGAGGACCAAGAAGTAAATTAGGAGAAATTAAAAACATGTGCCTTCAGTTTGATTTGAAGATTATAGTCCTGACAGAAAAATGGCTATTTTCTGTTCTCATCGATAACGAAGTGGACTTGCACGGAGTAACACTTTTCAGTACTATAGGGTACATAAAGACAGAGGTGGAAGTGCTAATATACATTTACTGTTACTTAAAACCCGTAATAACAAAAAGTATTGGACTGACCTAGGTAACGGAAGCATGCTAGTGCTGCCGCAATGCGAACTGTACAAAGTACTTGGTTGAAGGGATATACTAGACCCCACTGATACTGACACTCCAAAGGATAAAATTATTCAGACGATACCAAAAATACAACATCTGAAGTACAGCCAATTGCTACTAGCTGAAGACGCCAACATTCCATCCATGAATTTCTAGAAGTAGGAAATAAAATATACATGGTAGTTTCTTAAGGGGCCTTTCAGGGCTATTAGAAGTTTGAGATTGGCTGCACACGAGAGTGGTCCCACGCTATCGAGTGAAGATGGAAAACTCTGTGAATTAAATTATTTGTTAACAAATAATCATCTTCTAGTGAAAGACATCGATATCCATATACCAATAGTGAGTACTGACCATGATAGTAATATCTAATGTTATCAAAAACGAGATGATTCGGAGCGTCGAGGACGCTTCCCACCGTAGTTATACAAAGGTAAACTACACGACGATGAGATATAATCTTCAACACGCCCCATGATGGCGAGAGTGGTGGGGGCTAACAGCGGGTGATCACTGTGACAAAGTAAAGGACATCACTCAGAATACCATTCTACACATTTTACTTCAAGGAAAGCATATACTTGGAAATGGGAGGTCTTGAGCTAAGTAAGACACAGAAAGCCTGCTAAAGGCTAAAAGGGGAACCTGGGACAAATGAAAGTCTTTCTGAAAGAGTTTAACAGTAGCTCTTATTTGGCATTAAGAGACAGATGCAGCACTAGAGTTCAAAGAGACAGGAGAGAGTTTTAGGTCAAACTAGCAACCAAAATTAAAATTAATCCTAAATATTTCTACAGTTTCATGATTATGAGAAAAACTACCAACTAAGGGATTCGTTCTTTTAGAGGGAAAATTGCGATTATTAACCTACTTAGAGATGACAGCGATCTTTGATGCCAACTTCAACGACTGGTTACATCAGGAACCTACAAACGCGGAATACTCTAGTATCAGTTGATGAATTGGGAAATATACAGATAATTTCCTGCTTTGGTTTTAAGAAAACTGAAATTCACGCTGTCAGAAAAGTCACCAGAATGTGACAACAATGGGCCTGTAATTCTGAAATACTGTATGGGTTCCATCAGCATAGTGGTATATGACCCGTTCAGCCACTCACCAGAGTCACAACAACAGACAAGAAAAGTTTAAATGGGCTACTCTCCCCAATCTTCAGTGAGGTATATAAGGAATATCAAGTTCGTTATAAGACAGTCGCGTTACTTCCAAGAACTGGTCATTGATAAAATGGGGAAACGCTTGTCAAATGAACAACATACTCTGTGAAGCTCAACACAGGTTTATTAGTGGCAGGTACTGTGTATTCAATCTTCTCATAGTATGAGCTGCTGGCACCGAAAGACACAGGTTCATGTGATATTCCTTGACTTCCTGAAAGCCTTCAACAAAGTACCACACTCACTTCTCATAGTGAAGGTTGCAAAGGTGGAATTCACTCTTAAGAACCTAAAGACAATAGAGAAATATGCAGTAGACAACGGGTTCAAACACAACCCATTAAAATGTCATGTCATGAACATTCTGACTTATTTGACCCAAACGATTAACGCTTTCCATGGAAATCCACTGTTGATTGGCTCTTCAAATCGCGGTCTCAGGCATATAACCACGAAGAGCTTAGACACCAGCTCGAACTACATAGGGATACAGTCAAAGCGAACACAACTCTCCACTCTTTTAGAAGACGGCTTAACAAAATCACCCCGGAATTGATCTCCACTTCCTTTTTAACGTACACACGATCCCACCTGGAAGTCTGCGATATCGTCGCATCCTTTCTCATCAAGAGACATGTAAATCCTCCGGAAAAGGTGCAGAGACGGGCAACCGAGTGGGTGAATGGATTCAAAATAAATCTCACAGAAACATACCCCAACACCTGGGGTTATTTTTTCCGAGCTACAGGAGAATAAGAAGTTAACTGATAATGACATACAACACATTAAATACTCCAAACCACCCCAACGTGATAATACCGGAACGTCATCACCACGCTCTTCAAGGCAACCCTCTAAAGTTTGCACATCATAGAGCGCACACATAGGTACGCTCTCAAATTTTCATATTAAGAGTTGTTGCCATTTGAAATGCACCTTCAGCCAAAGTAACCACAGCCCCCTTAGTGGATGACCATAAGAAGAGACTTAACTGGCGCATACAATCTCATGGATTACCGTCTGACCCTTGTATCAGCTGTGTCTAATGTACGTCTTATAAGTTACCACGGTTGTTATTACTGCATACCAGTAACTACTTTCCATCTCCCTTATTATAATTTTTGTTCTCATCTTATTCCTTAAGTTCCGTCTTCTTACAAATTAGCAATTAATTAGATTGTTTATGCTTGAAACAATTCTCTCAAAGTATTAGGATTTTCTGTTTACCGTTTCTCCCATTTCCGCCGACCAATATCCTATTTGGTAATGTGTTAGCTTCTGGTATCCGGAAACATTTCTCTGAGACAAACGCACTCATTTGACTCACAAGATATACAAATTCACAAAATAACGAGAATCAATGGTCAAGTGACTAGGCTGCCACACATCAAACATTGCTAAGTACCCGGAACCGTATTGAAACAGTAAGAAGTGATGGCGAGGAAATTCATCGGTTTATACTAGCTTGTTATAAAGGTATTAGATGTTGAAACATTCCGAATTAGTTGCGTATTTCGTAGTAAGCGCTACCGTGGTCTGTTATTGGTTGTGGATTCCTTAGACAAATAAGGTCAAACAGTCTAAGATGTTTGTACATATTCACACCAACAAATTTGGTCAGATCAAAGTTCGTGGAATTAGTAAACCTGACGGTAGTCCTAAAAATTTCAGAACACGAAAACATTTGTTAGTTAAGCGAACACCTGGATTCACATGAAAGTCGTTTCTAAAATCGATCAAAATACAATGAAACGGCCGTATTCTTTCATAGGGTTCTCAAGGTTAAGAAATTATGATGGTAAATTGAAAGGTTACATGCAACACTTAAGTGTCCGAAAAAGCATTTGTTTGGTCATTGGAAGTAGTAGAAGAGGCAATCACGGGACACTTTTGGTCCTAAGCGTTTACTTAGCATTTACCAATTGGATTACGCTGAGATCCACAATTTTGGGCTCGACTAAAACTAAGTGATTAGGAATAAAAACTTATTTGAATGACCTCGAGTATATTGTACTCAACCGCCAATTGAGAAGAAACATTAAAGGATAAGGGTCGTCGTAGAAATATACTCTTAGCCGTTTTGATGAAATTCCTGTGTCCGTCCACTAACCAACAGTTATTTGGCAACAGAAACTGATGTATTGTTGGTCGATTTCGGTTAAGCTCGCACGTTTCTATCAGTATGGAACTTAAGCTCGAAAACATAAATCTCACAGATATTTAATGAAAATTACCCTTCATGTTTCTACATCAATAGCCCAGGTGACTTGGTGCAAATGATAGATATACAGAGGTCATATTTTTAAGTGAATCCATACTCCGTCCGTTGTTTTGTTCACTAAAGGTTCTTTCTGTGTATGGTCGACCGACTATAGGCTGAAATAATGGGCTTGATTTCTTCTCGGAGTCAGCAAGTGGGTCAAGAAAAGGAGATGCCGAGTGAATGTCCTGTTGGGAAAAGTGATGGATGTCCAATGAATCATGGATACAAGAACCTCAGTCCAGACAATCTTGTGGGTTTCATATTCCCCATGTTTTTAGTATTTCATGAATCTTATTTTTATACCAAGCGCCTATAAAGGACAAGTTTTCATTTGTTGAAATAAATTTTGCTGGGGTTCTGCCTGTAGTCTCGGCCTCTTTGCAAGCAAGATTATAAATGTTGTTCACTGTCCACTATAGGTTCTGGGAATAAATTTGTTTGGAACTACCTGTGTTGAGTCACTGGGTTGGCTAATAGAATATAATTATCGTCAGTCTTCATAGTTCGGTTATTATTACTCCACAAACCCTTAAACCAAATCATGGTGTTGTTTCCAAGTTTGGCTCCGAAAGCGTCAGATCCATGAAGAGCAACAACTTAGTGTTCGGTTTCTGTAGTAATCTTTGTCCGTTACGGGTACATTGGCTATTATTTTATGTGGCATTATGCCTAACTTATCTTTTTTATTTCCTGTTATAAACTTAGCCTATTTTGCTGCAGTAGAGGGGAGGGTCTTATAAAAGACTATCACTGCTGGAAATTTTCCCAGTATATAAAGTTGGCGAATGCGACTTCCATGATAATGTTTCACACGGTTACTGGAAGATATTTCGAGTGAAGTAGACAATGCATTTTATAATAAAAAGGTTAAACAGTGGACTTATTGACCTCTTACGTGGTCGAACGTATAACACTAAACCATACGTTTCACTAATAAAATACCATCTCTTCTTAATTTTCTTTCACCTATTTCATTTCTAGACTGTTCGCGGATGTTTCAAGTTGCTTCAAAGTGTAGGTACATAATGTATGTTGGTAGACTTCTCTGTCACTCAATATTCTCATATGTCCACACATGTACAGCCACTGCCAGGAAAGTTTTACTTCCTTCTCGCGGTGGGGATCTTGTTTACAAAATCAAGAGGACGAAATGCAAACGCCCGGCTCCATAGCTGGGTTGATGGGTGAGGAGGATCCATCTATAGGAGATGGAAAACCCCGATTCCGAACCAGTGATGTACATGGGTTCTAGGATCCTGAGGAAACAAATGGCTCACGAACCTATTGTTGACTACTGGCTACCGTGGAACTGAATCTCCTAACGTTGCTTCACGCTATTTGTCCCCTCAGGATCCTAGAGCCCATGTACACCATTGGTTTGGAATCAGGGTTTTCCAACTTTCCTAGGTGGATCCTCTATATCTACTGACCCGGTTAAAGCGTCGAACATTCGCTTTTCGTCATCTCAATTTCGTAAGCAACACCCCTGCCACGAGTAGTTGTAAGCACGTGGCCATGTGAGAACATTTCGAGGGGGAGAGCTGACTCTTCCCACTTTTGGCCGTGTCAGTGCGTTTGGGGACCTTTAATAACTCGCAAGTTAGCTAAGTAGTTGTTTTCAATTTTGGTTGCCTCAGGTGAGGATATAAAAGACACAACAAGAAATGCTCCTGACTTTGTTGAACTCAAATCTAGATTGTATTGTATCGCCTAATTTAGTTCATAAACTAGCCTACCCATCAAACACTTGAGGAAGCTACTATATAAGACAACAATGAAATTGACCAAGTCACAAATACTAGACGTTTCTTAAGTTAGTGTGTAAAACACTTAAAACAAGAGAGCGCATTGATCGTTTATATTAATCATGAAAAAACTTGATTTGACAAGCGAACTTATGCTTTACGACGAACAACAGTCACACAGATTTTGTATTATGAGTTGTGTGTTATAAATTTGGGTATTTGTTAGCAAACTGCTGTTGTATGCTATACGTTAAGATATTTCATAGTTAAAAACCTATCTTTAGGACTTCTACTTTTAAGACAACAGTTCCACTTGCTGTTAGATAATCTTCATTACTGATCATTATCAATGGGTTTAAATATTTTATTATTTTTTCTAAACCAATTGGCTGTATTTTAGATGCCACCCCCTAACCAACTCCCAAGTCCTGGACAACCTTTCCCATTGTCCACTGAACGCGAATTGTCTTCCATTCCAAAAGCAGATCGATCTGATGGTGAAAAATGGATATATCCTTCACCTCAAATGTTTTGGAACGCTATGCTTCGTAAAGGTTGGCGTTGGCGGGATGATGATATCAAACCTGAAGATATGAACAACATCATACGAATACATAATATAAATAATGAATTAGCTTGGCGTGAGGTTTTAAAATGGGAGGCTCTACATGCTAAGTAAGTGTGAATTCTCTTGAAGTAAAAACTAGGCTCATTTTCCTATTAGTAGTGATGGAATTCAGTATATTAAGTTTTTTATAATAACTGAGCTATATTTCTTACATTTAGTTATTCAACATTATCTATAATATTGATGCACTTTCTTTGCTTTTCATCACGTCGATTTCTAACTGAAGAGAGATGTAACAATTTAGGTCGATGCGTATTTTTTCTAGGCCTTGCTAACTTCTGGTCATTAATTTTGGATACGAGCTTCTGTTATTCTATAAACACGTTTTGAACTATTCACGATGAACCCTTTATAGTGTATAAAAGTCAGTATTTAGAATCCATGTGAACGTATTTGTACTATAAATGAATGACACAAATAACATACTTCGCCAATTCGGTGCAAGTATTCCATATTCGAAGCTGTGAATTATGTCTATTGGATAATGGTTATTGATTCTGCCGGATTGTTTAGATTTTGGTAGATAAATCGTTGTTTAAATTCATAACAGCCCGTGTGATAAAGTTTTTATTTTTAAGTTGGTGTCAACTCTGTCTCTTTTTGTTCAACCACTTCTTGACAGCTAAACGTGGTCATTAAAAATAATCTAGATGTATTTTTCAGATTCACTTATTTGTTGACGAAGGGTTATTTATTGCTGTCATTTACAGATGTATTGTTCGGGTTTTTTTCCCAATCTACATTGTCAACAATGAGATCGTAGTGAACTCAGGCAACCCAACTTGGTTTTACTTTATGGAAGACTTGGCGAATTTACCATGTAGTTATGTAAATTAAGTATGAAAATTACCGTTAAGATGATTCCTAATTATACACTGAATTTTCCTTCAAATTACAAGTTTTTGTTTAATGAAACTGATTTACTTTTTTAGCACATACTAATTTATGTGCTAATCAACTAACTTGTGTTCGAGTTTATAAGTATAATCCATAGATATTCACACTGATCACTAAGTATAATAATCAATACGGTAATTGTCTATCTCTAATTGCTTACTGAATTTTATAACAATCAATCATATCGGTCTTCACAATTCAGGAGTTAGTAGTTATAATGGGAATCAAATCATTCATTAAGTTTGCTAATGATTGTGAATTTAAGGATTTAAAAAAATACTTCAATAAAATACTGTAATTAATACTGGCTGAAAGTGTTTTAAATCTGTCACCCAGCCAAGAACAGCGTAGAACCTGTCATGTGTACATCTGTTGCCACACCATATCATTACAACGAGAGGAAGTTATAAAAACGGATGCTAGAATAGTGGAAGTGATAACATTGTCAATGGTATTAGAAAAGATTAGGCGTAAACAATATAACTTGAGAATAATGAATAAATCCACTGAATCATAGGGTTTAAAATAACTTTGAGACTCAGTATCTAGGGGAAAATAGAGTAAACATATCTGTCTTCTTTATTATCTGAACACATAAACATTGGTACAAAGAGGCACCTAATACAGATGCGCCACACAATGACAATGAGGCCAATAGCAGTTATCATTTATTCGTGTGAGGGCTGGAATATTGCCTGGGTGCCCAAACCGAGGCAGGCCGTTTTCCTAGGGGGCCACATCTCGAGCTTTTGACCTGGAGCTCTAACCCACAAGGCAGTGGAACAACTTTAGGAGACTCAGTCCCATGGTAGCCGGTGACCAACAATAGGTTCATATGCCATTTGTTTCATGATTATGGAGTCCATGTACACCATTGATTTGTGATCAGGGTTTTCCAACTCCTGTAGGTCAATCTGTCATACCCACCAACCCAGTTAAAGTACCGGCTATTATCTTTCCGCCCTCTCAATTTCGTAAACAGCACCCCCGTTGTGAGAAGGCATTGAGTAGGACTGTGGCTGTATACTGTTATGTCCCAATGAGCATAATGAATGGTAACTTTTGGGATCCATTTATGGACCAATACTATGTGTATATTTTTATCGTATAATTGTTAAATAACTAAACTATACATATTCATGTCCCTCTTATTATGAGCTTTATTTTGACCTATCAACTATTCTTCTACGATTCACCATTCTTGAATTATGCCCTGTCTATTAATTACTATCTCCCTCATTCACAGCCACATTAGGCTAATTCTTGTACAAATGTTGTTTCCTGTTTTATGGTACGATGTGGTCTGTCTGGTTGGTATATAAACTTAGCATGTTTGAAATAAATGATTCATATCACAGAGGCTGAGATTGGTGTTCTGGACTTAACTGGCTGAGCTAGGCAGGAAGAACGAGCGACAAGGACTCTAGACTGCTCGTACGGGTTTACGCGTCATTGGTCCGATCGATAATTCACTGCTCTCTAATTGGCAGTATCGTTACGTTATAAATTAACAGGGCACACAGGCCACAAGTTATAACATGAGCTTGGTCACGTGAGAGCATTTCGAGAAGGAAAGCTGACTCTTCTCACTCTTTGGCGCGTCAGGGCATTTGGGGGCGATCATTGCGTAGACTTCTTATCAGCCTGCGCTTAAGCTGACTCTGCTCTTCGTCATGTTCAGATCCAGATTTGGTGATTTTTGGAGCGTCTATCAGTGCGGTAGATGCTGCTGAGATTCAGTATGTCCCCCTAACCTTATGATTGACCTTACTAGCAGATATCACTTGTTTCCACAGCTTTCCGGATGTCATTCCACGCTGCTTTGAAATGGGCATCACTTACACGGCTGCCTAACTTTTTCTAGTTGTTCCTGAAATATATTCTTAGCTTGGCTATCATTGGGTGGGACCATAAGAGGTTTCCTTGTAGTGTCTGTCCTACGTCCAGTAAGACTCAGACAAATACGCGCTTGCACTAGAGCATGATCTGAATCCAAACCCCTCTATCGGTGGCTGATAGCGATGTGGTCTATTTGCGTCCAACGTTGGGACGAATTCGGTGGTCGCCATGTCAAAAAATGTTTTTCCTTATGCTTAAATATAGTATTTGCAAGAAACAGGTGGTTATCTGAGCCTAGCTGCAACAGACGGTCACCATTATCTGTTCTTTGAGCCACGATGCTATAAGATCCACCCAGGTGTCTTTCCCTCTCGCTTAGTTTACCTACTTGAGCATTAAAGTCACCGGCCATTATTACTACATCCGAGCGCCTAGCTTTTCGAAGAAGGTCGGAGAGCTTTCTGTAAAACTCATCTTTTACATCATCTGAGCTGCAGTCAGTGGGAGAATAGACACAGACGACGAAGAGGCAACGACGAGTGTCTCTATCTTTCCGAGTCCTTATTGTTCCGTTCAGTCGGACAGCGCACAAACGACTGTCTACTGGGATCCACTCTAAGAGAGTTAGTTCTGCCCTAGGACTCAATGCTATATCTACGCCGGCGAGGCCACGGGAAGCAGAATCAGGGCTTCCAGATACACGAAGCGTGAATCGAGTCGGTTTTTTATTTTGGCATGGTGAGGTCAAGTGAATGACGCTACTCGGATCCTGTATGCGCGTTTCGGAGACGCAGCACACATCGATGGCGTGGGATTCTAAAGTCTTAGCTAAGGAAGCCTGTTGTCCTATTTGGCACAGTGTTCGGACGTTAAAAGCTCCTACGTGTAGTTTAGAGCGTGGTTTCAGGAGACCAGGAATAACGTTCCGCGTACTCGAATCGTTTGCTCTAGCGGTGCGAGGTGATAAAGAGACGTGAGGAGGGTTAGTCGTTGAGATAAGAGAGTTTTTAGGAGGTGTGGGGAGGATTTGACTGTGACCAACTTGGTCTCGTGTGCCGTTACGGGTATGAGGGCTGGTGTCACTTCCCGGCTGCCCACACCGTGGAAGGGTATTTCTTGAGGAACCTGGAAAGGAAATTGGATTAGTGTTGATCTTAAAGACTTGGGAGCGTGACCGCAGAGCCCAAGGGACAACTGCTTGAGGCCGGTCTCGCACGACCTTTTCGTGGAAGGTTTTTAATGTGTTAGCTCCGTTCTTCAAAGGGCCTTACCGCCGGAGACGGAAATCCGTGAGGTAAGGTGAGGTGTGACATTTTTAGGGTCGACCTTTTCTAACCCCACTCCTCCTTGTGGGAAGGCAGCATCGCTGCAGATGCTGGTTGTCTGAGGGAAACACCTTACTGCTGTCACACCTCTCTACAGTCAGCAGTATGACTTCGCCCTCAGACCTTGAGTTGCTGCTTGTAGTCTTACCGTTCTCCAATCGACCTGCCTGGCATGGTAGAACCTACAGGAACATATGTTCCAGCCAATATAGCTCGGTTGGGTCATTACGATAGGCAAGCCCGACCACCGCGTCAAGGTAGCAGCTACGGTTGGGATAAAGTGAAGGTAGAACTTGTGAATAAATTGTCAGTTTATCGTGTTAAAAATCTCTGCTGAATTTATATTTCTTGCATCAAGCAAATTATGCGTATAAATCAGTTCTATAACACCTGGGTTATATACGAAGGATAGGCTTTTTGTTTTCAGCTTTAAGTTATCATGCAACGCCTTACCGATTTGAATTTATTTTATTTTTGGCACCATATTAGTTCCCATGGTGGACATTTTGATACAAACTCCTAGGCTATTTGGAAAGTAAGTTTTATTTTATAGTGTAGTGTGTGCTACTCATATAGACAGATATAAGTAATATGTACCAGGAGTTGAAATTAGAATTCCTATGGACAGAAGAGGGGAATAAGAAGAAGAAAAAGGAAAACAAAAACAGTCTAAGTAGCAACGAGAATAAAAGAACTATGGAGCTTGTAAGCGACAATCCAAGGAAGATATGCAAATGATGTATTCAATTTATCGTTTTCTTATTTTACAAATGCAATGTGCGATTTCGCATATACACTCATTACAGTAAAACTGCCATAATATTATTAAGGGCATTATCGCATTTTATTACTCTTCAATATGTTCAGTCAAATTCATCCAGCGTAAATGTGTGGAATTTCTAATACTATGACTTTCAGTGGTAATCATCATTCTCATTGTTTTTATTTTTCATATGAACATATTAGGACAAGCTGAAATGTCACGAGAACCTTATTTAGTTTGTCTTTGCATAGTTTCAACATTTTTTTCTTGACTGACAAGACTGTTTTTTTCCGTATTGCTTTCATTACGTAATGTTCAACCTTTACTAATTGTGTATTGTAGAAAGTTTTGTTATGAGACATAATTAATGTAAACAATATACTATGATTTGTTATTTTTCTTTTATCTTAATATCGTCAATTATGTATTTGTAGGTAAACTTCGAGACTAAATGTTCAACCCACTAATTTAATCTTTCTTGTTCACATATGAACATATCTTAAAATTAATTGGTTATTTGTAAGAGTTTAAATCTTCGCTTTGCTGATATTAAGGATAACATTTAATCAGTCTATGTTTGCATGTGTCATTCAGTCAAGTGGAATTGTAGCTAGCAATGGAAAACAGGATACACGTTTCGTCCTATTTGAGACTCGGCGTTTGAAGCAATAGGTACTAGCTTTAAATATGTGTGAACACAAAAACTCGGATGTAGGACGAAACTCACTCCTCGGTTTTCATTGCTAGCCAAAACCCAGCTTTTTTAATATTTTATATTCTCTTTGGTTTACTTTGTTCCAGTGAATGTATGACACCGAAATTGCGTCGTTTTGCTGGAGATGCAAAAAACTATTCTCCAAGAGCACGTATTCGTCGGGCCATGGGGTATGTACTGTTTTTGTGAACAACTTTAGGTTATTTTCATAAACAGTATTTACTGCTCAAGATATGAATTTCACTGTGTACACCTGGTAAATGTACGAAAAATAAAAATTAGTAAAGAAAGTTTTTAAATATTTAGACATTCAGAGATAGTTTTGCATCAAGCTAAAAAATCCAAAAAGCAACTGATAATTGGTTTTCAAATGAAGTCATGCTTTGGCTGGGGTCGTTGGCTTAGCGGTAAACGAGTTCAACGTACCACCACTAAGTCTCATAATCATACCTGTTCCTATCTACTTTGGTTTAGGCAACTGGATAGTATCATTACCCCTCACATTTATAGGTTAATACTAAGCACACAAATCTGCACCATATTAAAAAAAGTCTTTTTTGGTTACAAGTATTATGATAAGGATTTTTGGTGGTGAGTTACTTTTGGGCTGTTAAAATGGGCACAGTAAAATACTAATAACTCCTTACGATACTCAACTTATCAACGTACGATTTCCGAAAACGATAAACTGTTTATCAAAGGACAACACATGAGACTAAGTTTTTATTATGATCATCAAATATCATGGTGATGCACAAAGTATTCTGAAGCAAAGGTGAACGTAACAAAAGGGTCACTTGGCATGTAGGTTATTCAAAAATGCTAGTTTCATAGGTCATTCTCATGCTAATGAAATTAAAACTTGACTTTTAGGTTTTATTCTTGGTCTTCATGTCAAAAAATTGGATAAATTCTTTAGTTAGCTTTGTTCGAATGGTATTTATTATTTATTTGAACACAAATATTGGTACAAGAATGCGCCAAGTATATATGCGCCACACAAAACAATGAGAATTTAAGGGGAAGGAAAAAAAGGAATAATAACGAAGAGATTGGTGTAAGGTGGTGTAATAATAATAATGGTAAAAATGGGGGAACGGAAAGGTACAATCAGAAGAAATCTTTCAGTTAAGGAAGACACAACCACTTTTTTTCATGAAGAAAGTAAAAGAAAGTTACAGCAGGATCGCCACTGGCTTCTATTCTAAGCCATATCTGATAACGTCTCTAGTCACTGTGTTGCACCATCTCTCGGACCCCAGCCCGGGAGTTGTGAAGGACCAACAGAAGCCAGCCCTTTGCAGCTTTCTTTCATCCCACGACACCATGTCATATACTGACCACCTCTCCGCTTTTTCCAACCAGTCCCAGTGTCGGCAAATAATGCACGACGTGGAATTCTCTGGGACGACATTCGTAGAACATGTCCAAGCCACCGGAGTCGATGTTTCAAGATGGTGACACCAATTGCATTATCGTCTCTGTGCCCGAACACACGATGCCGAACCTCTGCATTACTAACATGGTGTTACCACTGGATGTCGGCAATCCTTCGGAGACAACGATGATCAAGCACAAGGTCGCCTAACATTCTCAACTGGGAGAGGTCAAGTTTCACAAGCATAAAGCACGACTGCTCTCACCGGCGCGTTGTAGTTCGGACCTTTTACAGCCAGACTGACATCACGAGGGCGCCAGAGATGGCCTAGATTGGCATATGCAGCTCTGGCTTTCACCATACGTGCATTGATCTCATCACTCACACGCCCACCAGCACTTATGCAGCTACCCAGATACACGAACTTCTCGACTATTTCTATCTGCTCACCATCCAAGGTGAGTACAGGATTAGGATCCTGCCAGTCTTGTAGAAGTACCTTTCATTTCGAAGGTGCAAAGCACATACCATACCTACGGACACTGATTAAGTGCGGATTGCATGGCTTGAGCATTATCTCACAGTAAGACAATATCGTCCGCATACTCAAGGTCGAGAAGTCTTTCTCCAGGCAACAGATTCACACCGCCATTACTTACATTCATCAGAGCTGTTTCCAGAATGTCATGGATGGCAAAGTTGAAGAGGAATGGTGAGATTGGGCAACCCTGTCTAACCCGACTGCTCGAATGGAACAATGGAAAGAGGTGGTTGTATGCCCTCACTCTGCCTGAGGTGTTTTTGTATAAGGCTTTTAGGATGTTAATAAACTTCTCAGGCACACCCTTCTTCAATAGACAATCCCAGAGAACAGTCCTATCCAAAGAATCGAAGGCAGCCCTGATGTCAAGAAACACTACGATTGTTGGCCTTTGATAAGTATGGCGGTGTTCTAACATTTGGCGGACCAGAACGAAACTCAGCCTGCTCCTCGCTAGTTGATCTTTCTCGGGTTTTGAACAACCTACGAAGTATGACGGAAGCCAATAGCTTGGACGCAATCGGAAGTAGACTTATCTCCCGATAGATGTTACAGGAACAACGTGAACCCTTTTTAAAGATAGGGACAACAATCGGCTCATTCCATGACATTGGTTCACTCTCTAGTTCCCAAACCTTTGTAGACGTCGTCAGTTCCTTAGTCAGAAAGTCACCACCATCTTTAAAAAGAGCCGGAGGTTAGTCATCTGGGCCAGGTGATTTGTAGCGTTTCAAGAGTTGGAGTTCCTTGCGGACTTCCGCCTCATTTGGTGGATCAGTCGTCACCGGCCATGGAGGGCAGGACAGTCTGACCGATGCTGCCGGAGCAGCAGGCCGGTTGAACTGTCCTTCGAAAAATTCTGTCCATCGTGCAAGACGTCGATGCTTATACTTCTACTACCTCTACCACTACGGGATTTGAATCGACAATTGTATCTCTGCTAATGTGGTATGGCAACTTCAACTGATGTATGTACGTACTAAGTTTTACGTTGTTGCTGACTGACTTATTTGAATTTATTATAGTGTTTCATGTGTCAGTCAATCACTACACAAGTCAATGTCATCTCTGATTTTTTGAGATTGTTTTCAATTTACACTTGTATCATCTTTTTACTACATGTCAGATGTTTAGTGAATGGACACAAATATTATAAATGTCAATTGACAGAATTCGAAAGATTTTTTGAACGATGCGTACACTGTGAATTACCAAGGTAATAATCAGCATATCTTTTTTAACTGTGAATCTAATTCAGTGAAGATAATTGTACCAGTGCAGTAAGAGTAGTATGAACTACGTACGCAAGGTGAAACAATGAATGGAGTTTGTTGTTAGTGACCTTTAGCTTGAATTTTTATCATTTTTTTCTTAAAATTGTTCTGATAGTTATATGTAGGGAAAACTGAAACATAAACAAGTTTTTTATCTACTTTTTCAGTTATGAGTTGCCTTTCGATCGTCATGATTGGGTGATCGATCGATGCGGTAAAGAAGTACGTTATGTAATTGATTATTATGATGGAGGTTCTGTGAACGAAGCATATCAGTTCGCTATTCTGGATGTACGACCTGCATTAGATTCATTCGGGGCATTTTGGGATCGTGTTCTAGTTGCATGGATGCGTTTCAAGACTCCTGATCCGCCGAAAAAACTCCATTTAAATGATCCAACATTTCCGAAAAAGAATGAAGTGTCTTGAGTATTGCACTCCTATTTAACCCACTTAACTCAATGTTATGTATTTGTATAGCCTGCAGAAATATCTAGTTTAGTTATCATTCGAACTAACTCGAAAGTACCTTTCCTGTAAGTGCACACAAGATAGCTGTGAATACAAAATTCACTTGTAAATTACATAATGAAATACAAAGTTCTGATAATCACATTCTTTGTCGATTTTTCTGAAATCCTTTAGGCACACATTTCCTCGAACCTAAAAATGTGTGTAATTGAACTACACATTCGGAAAGATGATATGAATTTAAGAGTAATAAATTCTAGGTTGTTACAGTCAAAGAGCTCACATCTCTATTATTATTATTGATGGCTTTATTCAATATTATATTTTGGTACAATATAGAATTCTCAGAACAAAGTATTTCAACATGTTTCTTCTACAAAAAAGACAACAAAAGAAGAAGAAAGGTAAAAGGTGAAAAAATCTGAAACTGTACAACTTTCCAAATTAGAGACATGTTTGAGAATACAGGTTATTGACTAAGTTAACTCTAACAACCTGTTCGTCACAGAGTATATTTGCTAGGTAAGGTATTATAGAAATTTTATACTTTTGCTTGAGTGCATGGATTTCAATGTAATTACGTCTCGTTCTACCAGAAGATATACAAGGAGAAAGATATGATTGAAGACGATGGTTAGTATCTGATAAGATAACACCTGCCAGGAGTTTGCATGACTTTAGATTTCTATCCACAACCATATTAATTATGACCTCGGAAGATTCACCACACACCTTGATAACTGCCTTCAGCACTCTCCGCAATACAGCAGTCTTTTCTCAAAAGCCCGGGAAAGAATAATGGAGAACAGTAAAGAATAATACGCAATATGCAGTTGACAAATTGTAAGAGTAAATGACGAGTAATCCCAAAAGCATGTAGTCTCTTCATGTAGTAAGTCAGACGGAAAACTTTCTTCGATAACAGTAAAACATGAGAAAACCGAGAGAGATCAGAGGAAAAAGTAACACGAAGATAATTGATCTTCGACACTGTGTTTATCAAAGAGTCTCCAATGGCACAAGCATTATGGGATCTCAAAATGGTGTTTAGATGCCGTTCATGTCTTATGCCAAAGGTAACAGCTTGACATTTAGACAGATTAAGTTTGAGACCATTAACAATAGACCAACAATCAATACGAGACAAAAACTCACTCATTCCTATGGGATGTAAAGAGGAAGAGATAGGCATACATACAGTGAGATCATCCTCATATTTCGCAGAAGTGTTTTCTGTAGATGGCAGATCATGCAGAAAAATAGAGAAAAGAAGAGGTGAAAGAACGGCTCCTTGTGGTACACTTTCATGGGACACTAGAGACTTTGAACACTTTCCGCCAAACACACTGAACTGGTTCCTTCCAAAGAGATAGGAACATAGTCAATTTGTTATCCAGCTGTCAGTGTTGACGCTGATTAACCTGTTAAGTAAACGTTGTCTTGATAGAGAATCAAAAGCACAAGTATAGTCCAGAAAAGCGCATCGAACATACTTCTTACCCTCTTCAAAACTGAATACTATATTGTGATGCAGAACAGCAATGGCGACTAAGGTACTTTTGCATCTGTACGCAAACTGATACGGATTAATGTGCTCTTTTATCGCAGGTTGAAGTGGAAGTATCAATAATTTCTCCATTGTTTTGAGGAAAAGTGAATTTATTGCTATGGGTCTAAGTTTCACATTTTTATCATCAGATACTTTCTTAGGTATAGGGATTATCTTTGTCTTTCTCCACATTTTCGGTATGAGATTAGTTGAGAAGGATCTGTTAAAGATACTCGTGAATGGATAACATAGAACGTCAGCATGTTTTTTTTATAAAAGAGGTTTAGGATACCATCAGGTCATAAACATTGGGATAAATTCAGTGACTGGAGACATCTTCGGACATCAGTTTCAATGAAACTAGGAACACAACTATTCTTCAAACTTGTGGATATAGGGAGCATTACATCCGATGACTGACGTACAAAAAACTTATCTAGGTCACAAACATTCAGCTGGTTATCGCTTTTAATGTGCCTGTCACTTGTAAGTTCTTTAAAAAGTTTCCACATTCTTGGGGAGTTTTTGAGTAAACATAGAGTTGAGACGTATAATCTATAGCTTTATTAGACCATTTAGCTTACGAGTTTTTCTCCTTGTACATTCTTTCTTTTACCCTACGCAGTCGTTTTAGCTGTGAAGATGTAAGTCCATCAAAACTTACAAAAATGGTTTCAGTGGGACAACAAATATCAAGGCAGAATTTAAGGTAACAAGTGACAACATCAGTGAGTCATCTGTAAATGTGATTCCCAGTTAGTAGTACGAAACATGTTTTCCAGATTTCAAATATTTTCTGAGTAATTCCTATATTTGACTTTCTTGACTTGATGTAAGAGTGTACTCGTTCCATGCTTTCCATATACTTTAGGTAGAACACGTATTATACAGTGATCCGAGCTAGACAATGGAGCACGTTTACGAGTCACATATATACCCACATCATTAATGAAAACAAAGTCTAAATGAGCATCCAAACGAGTAGGAAAATCTACCACATTTTGGTGACCTAGTGACGTAAGGAAGCTACAGTGACATAGATTGAAATCACCACATACAACTGAAAGGGGCAATAACAGCGAACTCAGATAGTGCAGATGATGTGCAGTCTGGAGTCACGTAAATGTTGGTAACACAAACATATTTGTATTAATTCAGATGTTTTGGACGGCATCTTAAATGTTAGACAGTCGATAAAGTCATTTGAAAACTTGAAACACGCAAAGGTAGATCGACACCGGTTTACGTTTACAAACGTAGCTTCACCGCCGCCAGACCTTTTTATTGTTTGGTCGATACTGACGATAAATTTTGAAATCACGTAGTGGTACTAAGCAATCGTCCTGTAAATCGTCTAACCAAGATTCTTGAATTGTGATGACACCACAATTACGATACAAATCATTTAAAATTTGATGTCCTTATGGAATATTTACTGTTGACGCTTGCTTTAAACCTTTTCACTACCATACTTCTAAACAGTACTCAGTTCGAGTATATTCTCAGGAATGGTTATTTTGTCTAAGAGTAGGTGGTTCCACATCTAGTATTTCGGCTACATTTTGTGCCGATCACTTTGTTACAATGAAGTATGAACCGTATAGCAGTCCTCGTAAATTATTCGGGTCAATGGCTATAAACATCGTTATGGTAGCAACATAACCATATTCCTATCTTTCACATCTATGGTATGACGTAGTTGGAAGATGAGAACGTTTCCTACATGTATTATTACCTATTTTTGGTCAGAATCGGCAATATATTTCGGTGTACTTTGTTTATATTGTGATCATTGTACAGTTTAATCGCTTCCAACAAAATACATAATAGGATCAGATAACGGTCGGGTATATATATATATATATATATATATATATATATATATATCAAAGATGATACGGATAGCTTATTGATAATTGAAAACTGATGGGAGAACTCTGTTCTGTATTCGACAAGCTCTACTGAATATCAGGAAGAAAATCGGAAGCCATATTCAGATTTTCGTCTTATTTCTATTTCCAATGGTACACCATAATATCGAGTCAATGAGTTTAACAACCTCACTGTAGTACTCTATTATGACAACCAGATTAGGAGTTAGGACTATTGCATTACGTTCCTAACTTGTCGAAAGGTTTCTTACCTTCCCCTATTTTGCAGATTTTTTTCACATCATTCTTGAATGTAATCCCACCAAAGGTGGGTAGGTTTTGTGCCAACGACAAACCTTTAAAGAGTGAACTGAATAGCCTGTTTTCAAAGTATTCCTTATAAAGCCTTTTTATGTCCGTTTATGTCATATATAATGTCTTTTGCAAAGCATTGGTATGTTTTTAATGATGAATTTGTATTTAATTTTATCAAGAGGAACCCAAAGATGTTTATGTCATTGTAAGTAATTCAGGTTTCTATTACCAGTCTGCAGAAAATCTTTACATCACGCTTCAAATAGTCATATTATTATTGTTAAAAAATAAAATTGACCGGAATCATACCTACATAGGATATTGATCTATTTTCATATCGTTCAAATTTTAATGCAATGAATTTGCACTTTTATAGAGTTGGTAGTCAGATTTCTTATCTTTTAAGAAATGGCTTCCGAGTTTTTACTTAGTGTTTAAATTTTATCGTAAAAATACTAGTGAAATTGTAGCCAGTTTATTCTACAGAATTGTAAAAAAAGACATGCATTATACTGATATCACTTGTGTTTTGTTCAACATATGAAAAATTGTAATCGTACAAATGTAAACAGCTCACTTTGATCACAGTATTCCAAAATATGTGGTACTTAGTAAACGTATGAACACCAGAATGTCTAGTTTGATAACCATGTCGAATGTCAATCCAATTGAACAGCTGACTGCACCTCCAAAATGCTATTGAAAGCTGACACCTGACATAAACCAGAATTCACTTTTAATTTCTTCAGATACGTGGTTTATAAATAATTTCAGGAAATCAGATTTTGAAAATCCCCTGCTAAAATTAGTCCCAGTAGATTACTAGATATTACAGTATTATTGAGACGCCGCTATGTACACAAATAATATAAACTAGCGTAGCAGTATCTGAAATACGATCTATGACAATTATTTGTGTCACTTGGTTGTATTACCTTTGTAGTTTAGTTTAAAAATAGTAATCTGGTCGTGTGTAGTCAAATTATTTGATGAGTCGTGCCAATCCTAACAGGATGGCAGAATTCAAATATGTTCAACACACTCGTTTACTCTTAGGAAACTTTCCACTTCTATTGTTGGGGTGATATACCTTACTATCTATCAGAAAGCGAGTGTAGTATTCGGTATTCTTTTGTGTTACTCTGACTGTAAGACATGTTTTTTTAATTTGAAACTCTTACTTTGGGAGTCCACAGGATAATTGTAGTTTTTGGTTGAAGATATTTTATAATGACTAAGATCGATTAAAGGAGAGAAGGCACAACAATGTTTTATCTCTCCTTAGATATTGATGACCACATTACTTACATTTTTGAATTTGTTTCTTTTTTGTCTAGATTTTTGCAAGTGCTGGTGAATTATTTTCACTCTGTAATTTCTCTTTGGTTTATACTAGTCATTTATGCTGAGTCTCCATTGTATGCTTATAAGCAATTTCAGAAGACTATTCTCTGAATCCAAGGTTATTTTAATTTTGAAGCAGAAATATCGTAATTTCCTAAGGGTTGGGCAAATGAAAAAATGGTTTCCAGTTTAGAATTGTGGGAATTGTTGGGTTTTTAATAAGATCCTGAGCCGATCTGTGTTAGACCACCATTGAAAATGTGGAAGCATTGAACGGTCGCTTCGTCCTAGTATAGAACCCCTCAGCAGTGCGCGCCCATGACCCTGTACACCGCTAGGTGCCGACTCAGTGGTTTAGAGGTTAGGCGTTCGCGCGAGACTCAAGTTTCAGGGTGCGAGTCCAGCACGGGGGATCGTGGGTACGCACTGTTGAGAGGTTTCATACTGGGATGAAACAACCTCCGGTGCTTCTACGTACTCAATGGTGATCTAACATTGATCGGTTCATGATCTCAATATAAAGAAAAGTGGTTAAATAAACAAGTCTGTCAATCATCACAATAATTCAGGTTCAAAAGTTATGGTGCTAAAGAATACCCAAAACTATTGATAATAACTTTGTAGGAATGAGATGTCTTCATACCAACATGGTGACTACGTATTATAACGCTCGGTTTCTCTTGTCTACACGAATGGGACATTAATTTGCCTTAAACAAATATCTATACAGATTCCCTCCCAATGTCTATTCTACAGGACTTCAATACAGTTCAGATCAAGAACAAGTAGTTAGCCTGACTAGAACATAAATATACTTTCACACCGAAAATCGACAACAATCAATAATAATAAGGATAGGAGAATATATGACTCACCTAATGCCTGTCAGACTATCTATAAGTTTGACTAAGCAGACAACCAATCACTATCATTGTCGCCCACAAATCACTACGAATTTGTAATACACGTCAGTCGCTGCAGCTGATTTAAGTTTATTTAATTTTTCGAGCCAGAAACTTCCATCACTAACTTGAAGGTTCCACTATACTTGAGAAATGCTCCGACGACAACTATGATCGAATATTTACAGCATAAATATGCGTTTAGCTCTTAGCGGCTGTATTGTCATTATAAGTCATACATAGTATATCACCGTATAAAACTTCTTTAGTAGACAATCGGGTGACGTGCACGCTCGATACGTGGCTTAATTTTACGATGATAAAAAAATGCAGTATTTCTGTAGTCACTAACCGACCAAAGCTGATAAACTTGGTAGGACGATCAATTTGTCCAGCTGGTTATCATTACCAAACTATGTATTGATGCGGATTATCCCTGCAGTAATGATTTGTACTTTGAATGTTAAAAACATTTTGAATTGTCTTACTGTGTTTAGATCATAATAGGGTAACTTAAAATAAACTTTACACGTTATGAGATGCTAATCTATTTTCCTGTAATAAACTCTCGACAAATCTATTTTCAGAGTGAGCTCGAATTTTGCAATCCTCTATACGCTGAGACAAGGTGCGGAAGTACTCTTACATCAGATTAATTTTGGGGTAAGAACAGGTGGGGATTACCTATTGGTTTTCTTAGACGGTTGATAAGTCAACTTACCGCCTTATGTCTACAGTTGATACGTTCCAGCAACAAATGGTTTTCAGGGTATAAATTTTAAAGCGGTTGGGGTTATTTGTTTGTTGATTTTAAATTTCAAAAGCATCTCTGAATAAGGCTTCAGTTAAGTTCCGTCTATATGCTTAAGTCACCAGCTATAATTATTAAATCCGAGTGGTTGGGTTTTGGAAAGATACTGGGTAGCTTTCGGTAGAATTAACATTTTATTGGGTCTGAACTACAATGAACGAGGATGGGCAGAAACTACAGATCCTAGATCTTTACAGTCGTTTTATTGGACAAGACGATGGTAAGTGGGATACAGACTTGGAGTGTTAACTCCGCTTTTCGATCTAACTACAGAAACACAAGTTTCAGTCATATTCAAAGACACGTTAAGATTAAATCATGGAAGTTCACCGTACTGACCAAACGACGCTACGAGTAACCACACTTGAGTTTCAAAAAGTTCATATATATAGTGAGGGACTTAGGCTCTAACCATTGATTTTTACTGTTTGATCTAATATGAGGTTCAGGTGTCAAGATTTTCAAGTAAATATATACGGCACTTTTAGTGGCCATGAAGACTATTTCATGAGCTTTATTCATTAACCTTGATTGTGTTTCCTGACGTATCTAGTGAATGGCTAGTTACATAAAAATGTTGGGATACAGGTTGGTGGTAGATATATGCTTGAGCGCCGTTGGGGGTTAATAAACAACCGAAATTTCCTAAATAGGAACATCGTGGAGGGACATTTCTACGGAAACTTAGAAAAGTAACTGGGTAATTTCCCATAGTCGCAACAAGTTGAAAAAGCTAGAAATCCCAATAAACAGCTTGAGGTATCACATAAGGTCACTGTGTAAACGTATGTATTTGTTTTCCTGTCGAATTTATGATTTTTAAGCCCTATCAGTAAGACCGATAACCAGAGAGGTGAGGAACCCCAATTTTATGACTGACCCTCTTAGACTTTCGCTAGTGGAAAGGCAGAATTGTTAAGGATGGTAAATATCCATGGTGAACACTTTACCAATGCTAAACTACCACTGTTTTACGTAAACAGACGTTGCCAGTCAGTCAGCTACAACGTAGGACCAGGCACATATACGCATCGATCCAAGTTGCCATGCCTCATTAACACAACAAGATGAACATCGAATTCATAGAAGTAGTTAATTCAATGGTGGTAATATATAAAAGAAAGAGTGCATATAAAGATATAGTACAGGAAGAAAGAATTAGTTCATAGAAAGAAAGATATGAAGCGATTTAAATCTCATTGTTTAAGGGAAGACATAGAGTGTATACACCTACTCCATTGTGATCGGTCCTGAGCCATGTCACCCAGAGTCTCCAACCATTGGTTATGATAGTCGCGCGGGCCCCAACCAAATAGTTTGCATCTACCAACATGACTCAGACCAGAATCTAGTGACTTCAAGGATTGATGCCACGTTTTGGTTTGGCCGCCCCTAACTTTCTTCCAACCGTTTCCAGTACTAGTCAGCATTGTGCGTCGTGGTAATCGGTGTTTTGGCATTCGTAACACGTGATCCAACCATCTTAGTGGATGAAGATTTACAAGTTCATCAACTGATTTACCATCATTCCCTAATATCTTGCGTTTAACCTCTCTATTGCTTACCCGGTTATTCCAGCAGATGCAAGCAATATTTCTAAAATATTTGTGATCAACAGATGTTGCAAAATTCGGTCACTGAAGTTTGAAATCGGTGGCTACATTTGAGGACTAACAACATATGAACTACATTAGTAAATATATGGTAATGAAGTTCTAATTCATCGGAGATCTGGCTTGCATATAAGCCACAATACTTGCTAACATACCTCTAATATACAGTATACAAAGATATTCACTGCTGCTATTACAAATAATGTGAAAAGAAATTATATCACACCATTAACGCGTACACACGTTGCTCAGATACAAGTACGCCAGATAGCGACATATTAGTTGCACAAAATTACTCCAACTTCATCGGTGTGAGTTTAGGAAAAAATTTAATCCACTAGAAACTAACTACACGGTTAAAATTTCGTATTTTTTAATATGAAGTTCGACTAATATAGATAAGTAACATTACCAGCCATTACACTGTCAGCTATTTATCACTAAAACATCAGTTCGAAGCAGTCTTCCTGTTGGACGAACCTAGGTCGTTCGTTCACTGGACCAGCAGATAAGTCACATACTTTACTGTCAGTACGGTGATGAACTTGTTTTGGAGATTGGTAAATTACTTTTTGGATTTAAAGAACTGAGTTTTAAAAAAGACTGGCAGGTGATGGCAGCAGTGACTTAATTGAAAACGTAGTTCGCACTCTCACGATACTGATTAAATGTAGTCGGAAAATTAGATATTCGCAAATATCGTGAAGTCTGACAGCTTTGAATAAGTAAATTGCCCCATAAGATGCACTAATGGCTAATAAAAGATGAAACATGGGCTACGGCCAAATATTAATAGATTGAGCTGCGGATAAGTTAATCTATGAACTTACATGATTTTAGCTAACCGAGACTTGACGACACACCTAAGCGATTCCACACGAATATCATACCTTGAAATGAAAAGTGAAAATAAACAACAAAATCAGTGGGATATATTTATTTTATATAAGTATTATAAGAGGATTCGAATGTGGTATGTCTTAAGTGCAGTTGAAGAACAAAGTATCCAATAGACGTAACAGTAAATTGGACGCATTAAGACAGTCATTTAGACAACATAAATATTACTTTATCAACCTCAACAAATAACTGTGAAACTGATTATACAAAATTAATGTAGTTTTACTATGCGAACAAAGTATATTTCGTGTGAAGATAAATCACATTGCTTGCAGGGCTCCATTTCCACATTGACGGACAGTTCGGTTAGTTACTTGACCATCTACTTCTTCCGTAATGGTCTCAGTACCATTCTCCACCACTTTTGTCACACGAACCATTTTCCCATTTACGTACTTGGACGATGTTGAAACTGACCTGAAACCACCCGCACATGAAGACCCACCAAAGCTACTGAAGATGGAGGTTGATGAAGAACCCTGGGGATTTCCGAACCCAGAATCGGTAAAAGCCATCAAAGGACTAAACAGTGACCCACCAAACGGAGAGTCAAAGAGTCCACCCATGAAAGGGTTTGCGAGCATGGGATCATAGCTCTGCACTTGACTAGAACGTCCGGCATGATGATAAGGAGATCCAGATTGTCGCCCAGCGTTGCGATGAGAGTTGGACCTGTGAGTTCGACCCAACTGAGGACCGTATTGGAAGTCATGAATACTGGGGCCAAAGAAAGAATCGAGCCCAGAGCCAGCAAAAACTTCTCTGAATATATCCATGGGATCTCGGAAGTGGAACCGCGTAAACATTGCGAAAGGATCAGAATCCTCAAATACGAATGCCTCGCCAGCATGAGGACCCCTGCCGCGTCTGTCATATATGTCACGCTTCTTGGGATCCGACAGTACTTCATATGCCTCACTTATGAGTTTAAAGCATTTTTCTGCTTCTTCCTTTTTGTCTGGGTTCTTGTCTGGATGCCACTTAAGTGCCAGTCGGCGGTACGCCTTCTTTATCTCATCACCTGAAGCAGTCTTTTCAATACCTAAAATTTTATAATAACAGGTTTGCTCCATCGCAGAATTTTCGATCCTAAGCTATCGTACGAAAATTCCAGATGACCAAGGTCTCAGATTGAAACTAGCGCTAAATTACTGATGTCCCATTTCAAACATCTGTGAAAAAAGAAGTATCTATAAGCAGTTTGAGGATTTAGTGTTGACGGTATGGTGAACACTTTCAGTTAAATAGTTTTCGTGGATCGTACGGACTTACTCTCGATTCCCGTCTTAATGAAAGCGATTTTGAAGGAGAGGAAATTTCCCAGTATATCAATGTCTGCGGTAACATTCAGTCGTCGGGCAAATGATAGAATTTGGATAGAAAAAATCGTGAGTTCTCTTAAAAAGTTCAAATATTACCTTCATTTGGACCTGGCGTATTAGGTTTATTTGGCGGTTTTAGTGAGAATAAGTTTTTATACATGTTATTGTGGATATTACGTACGCTAATCGTGTTATGAATCAATGAGATCATAGCGAATCTGAAATCTTAGTTCATTAGCTTTTAGCCTAGACCATTAGATTGTCATGATCTCATCTCTGTATTATCAATAGCTTATTTAACCATTAAATATAACTACAACCAATTTGTCTACTCAGTCGACTCACTTTATCTCCGTTTTAGTTTACCACATACACTACTCTATATGCTTTCTCAACACACGACATACCTTCGGACAAAACACAAGCCTACCTTAGACTGAAATTCGGGTGTTGCCTCTTTTAAGTTTCCTGCATTCTGTCGGAAAAATGTTGAAAGAATTTGTATTTGTGTGAGAAGGCTATTGGTTACGGAGTACAGTAATTTCATCTGTGGTCCAGCAGAAATCTGAAAAGATAATTCATAATTTTAATGATGGGAGTAATTAAATGAAAAACCCCCATAGTGGTCTCCCTTAGTACAGATGAAACTAGAGTCAATATAAAACCTTCTTTTGAAGGAATCAGTAAAAAGTCCTATTATGATATGTTTCGAGGGCGAAATCTTAAACTTATAAACATTCATTTGTAAGATGTCAACCTACATTTTTGTGCGGACTGTATCGATATGAAGTAGAAACTTGTAAATAATGAAATGAAGACCTATATTCTGATGTTACCGACTCAAAATTGCTTAATTATTCAAACGGGCTTATCAGACTTCTCTGTCAAAAGTTTGGTGTTGATGTTAATAAAAAGTTAATGTAAATTTTCAATAATGTGACCTTGACAGAGAGACTTTACGACGGAATGCTATTCTGCTGAAAATTTGTTGAGTGTAAGAGACATCTATACTGATGTCAACGTCGAATAAAGTTCAAGGATCATTCATTTCAGTCTCAAATATTTTTCGTCATACAAATATTTGATCAATTTAAGTAACTAATTTACATCTTGATTAATATTCCCTGTGATTTATATGATCACACTAGCAGTTCAATACATCTTTATTCAAATAGTGAGGCAGAACCAAGTCTCACATATCTCGGCTCACTGTAACTTGGTGGTCCAGCCATCCTGTCTCGGTGCAGTCTTCTAGGGTAAAATCTCACCAACCAGTTATATTTAGGTGTGTAAATAGGAATGATATAGAACAGACAGGTTATGACCAAGCTGTTGGACATGCTGGGTCTACATACTGATCAACGTTATATAATAATCAACTATAGCCATGACTGAACATCAGGAGTTACGACAAACTACCTAACGCCTAGTCATTATTATTCCAGGACAGAAATGCTTGGAACATGATAGATAAGTTTAGTCGGAGTTAGTGTAATTTAAATGGCCTCAAATATAATGGTGAAAAGATGCCTAACACTTATGAATTTCCGATTTGTTACCTGATAACTTGCGAAACAATATTAGTTTAGGTGTTGTCTCTATTTCTCTTATTTTGACCCATTTACACTTACTGTTCGGTATTATTCGACACTACTTAATTAGATAAGTCTACAAATCAGAACACGGTTGAACAGAAACTTGAAAGAATTCACAAGATGATATTTGGTCAGCATTTCACCCTGGCAGCAGACCATAAGCCATTACTCACAGTATTTAGGTGGAAGAAAGGGATTCCTGTTCACACGACTAACCGACCACAACGATGGGTAACAAAATATCTGGGTTACGATTTCACGATCAAGTCTACTATCAGTCTACTATCGCTTTCGGGCAAGCTGACGCGTTAACAAGATTAACAGGTTGCCAGTCAAGAACGCCAGAAAACACGTGTAGCAAATATAAAAGCCGAGAAAGAAGCTCATCGTGTATTTGAAGAACGCAATCGATGGACTTCCGGCTGCCTTCGAAGCTATCAAGAAAATCATTGAAACTGATAAGACATTGGGTAGAGTTAAGTGTTATCTTTCTACCGAACGGCCAAACAACCGTCTTGGAGGAGAACGTTCGCAATATTTTCGTCGACATGACTCACTAATGTTTGTCGACTCATATATTACGTTCGGTGATCAAACTGTTATTCCAGAATCATTGCGTCACAACATTCTCAATCCATTTCTCAGTGGTCACTCTGGAATCAACATGATGAAATCATTGGCTCTAAGTTATACTTATTGGTGCTCAGTGGACAAGGACATCGAAGACAAATGCTGTAACTATCTATCACGTCCTCAAGTTGCTAAAAACCCTTCCAAATGCGAACCACGGCTTTGCCCACGTCTTCGAAAGCCTGGAAGATTTCGCCGGTTCGATTCAAGGTAAAATGTTTTTAATTATTGTGGATGCATTTACGAAGCAGTCGAAAGTATATAGTATGCCTAAGTGTACAGCCTCAGAAACAATCTACAAATCGCCTACTTCGTGTAGCTGTTTTGGAGTTTCAGAAACCTTATTGACGGATAATGGCTCACAATTCATTGCAGATTCCTTTAAGTATTTTTGTAGCATAACACATCTACGTTCTTTGCCCTGTCATCCTCAATCGAATGGAAAAGCAGAACGTTTAGTAGATAATTTTAAGGGAGCATTACTGAGAGGGGGAATGAGAGTAAAACTAAATAGGTTATGATAAAATTTTTGACGGCTTACAGAAGCACTCCAAACTCAACTGTCCAGGGTGGAAAATCTCCCGCTGGAGCCATGTTTGAAAGACCTATTCGAACTATTTTCAGTGCCATGTTGGCACAGACCAAGTCTTTATGTCCGAAGTTTTAACGCTGACGATAGCGTGTTCATCAGGTTATGACTCGGAAAGAATCGATGGGAACCGTGAAAATTCGTGTGAAGATTGGAAAAAGTTTTTTACAGAGTCCAAGGAACATTTGGGACATGTGTCAAACACACAAATCAAATCGATAGACATAAAAGAATGATGCACACTCAAGATAGCTGAGTTTTTCACAAGAGTTAATATAAGATATCTCAACAACACATGCGCATTGCAGTGGATTACAGGTCCGAATCTCCCTTTTACTTCTTTCCATTTGGTCAAACAGATAAAATTACTGTTGGGACGGCTTGCGAGAAGCACGACAGAGTATCCGTAAACCAAAAAGTAGCCAAAGAGTTTCCAACCAATTAGAACGTGATGGAGCTTCCTAGAATATCAACGTGGCATGCTACATTTGGACAGCAGCGTAGTATGCCCCTTTGTAAACTGGCTGGATTATAATAATAATATCTATAAATACCCATGGTTTTCTGTACATTTTAATGCTTATCCAACAAACACTTCTCTAGCTTACTTCTGTTTTCTGGTTTGTGACTGTGGGGTTCTATGAGTTTGAGTGCAGTAGTTGTATACAGTATTCTGCGTTAATCAACTAGCGAGCATAAAATTTCAACTAACAAGGTTGGATAAAAGTAGAAATCACACCAATAAAATTGTCAATATATCTATAATTTTTACATAAGATTTTAGAGTCGTCTCCACGTATCAACTTGCACGAATCGGTTAGAAAATAGCAAGTCAGTGTGCCCCAACACGATGCTGCACGGGACATGCTTTGATCCAATCTATATGCCTCTGAAAGTTGCACAATTATGGTCTTATTTTAGTATCCTTTTTCCGTTTCATTCCATATAACTTCCTCTTCGAGCGATTTCGTGAAAAGGTATCTGTTTATTCAATAGAGATATGATTTTTAGAAAGAACTCAATTGGCGTTGTATCCTGATAGAAGTATGAACCTCTTTAATAATGAAGCATTTAGATATCCTTTTTCTCGTTCATTGGTCCATGGATAGTAAATGATGTTATATTCATTCAGTTCTATATGGTTATAGAATTCTGTCGATCAAGTTGTAATGTGAGCAATTGCAATTGTTTTCTACACGAAATTTAGTAAAGGATTCTTTGAAGACATTAATAATGTGAAAACGTAATTACATTTTATTCACGTTATCGATGTTGTACTATCTTGTCAATGCTTGTAATAACAAAAGCTGTACATGTCAGCATCGCTATAGTCAAAAGAATGATGTGCTATAAATTTGACTGAATATCAAAATATTACAAAATACATGTACATATTTCACGAATAATTTATCTACTGTTGGCGTGTTTCTCACGCAGAAGTTCAACATTCGTCAACGCTGTTCTACAAACTGAAAAAACACTTCAGTTTTGACGTAGCAGACAATATCCAAGCTGTTTTCTTACTAAAAGTAGGCAAACAAGCGCCTCATGTAATAACAATCTAGGAATGCACGCTTCCAGAGCATAGAGTGCCATATGAAATGTTCATTCTGTACGAAAGGCAATGTACAAATCTTTGCTGAAATAAAAACTTGCCGTTATGTCGATAAGTATTTGTGAGGCCAGCCAAAAATGCGTATAGTGAATGGCAATTTGAAGGTAAACGTTTTGCAGAATAATAGAAACATACAAATTTTCAACAGTTCAATAAAAATTCATTATGTCTACCTTATTTTGGGTGGCCATCCGTGCCGATTTACGTCATCTATTACGTTTGGTAGGAAAAGCTAGCTAACACTATTCATCACTTGTGTTTTTTAGTTTTCCGGATAGGTCGCACTATTTTACCGTGAAGGCGGAAAATTCAGTAGAAGCAGTTGAAAATTCTGTGGAATCGGTGGTTACCCATACTTACTTTAATTTAAGCTCTATATATGATATAAATGACAGACAGTTAAGGTTTTAACACGCAATCTAAATAGGTTTTGATCAACTTCTGGAGGTCATCACAACTG